ATGCACTAAACGATGATAAGCCCCCAATTAAAAAGACGGGGTTTCTCAGTAATGTTAAGGCACTTGGAAAGGATAAAACAAATGAATGACGCTAGCGCTGCAAGCCTACCAACAGTTTTTTTCGGTCAAAAACTGAAACGAAAGTTAATGTGCAGTTTAAATGATCAAAAGCTGTTACCTTTCGCATGCAAAGGTGCACATCTCTTGATAAATTTGTTTGTTGTTGAAAGCATTGCGAACGAGTTCATTATATGACAAGGAGCAAGCATATACACGTGCACTAGCAAATTTCAAACGCGCATCAATCGTTCTTTTGAGCAATCCCATCAAGTAGACTAAGATATCTAATTCAACTAGCTAGATCCGTTATCCAATTACTATTTCTGTATCATCTTTTCAGAATCGCATGCATTTGGGGTTTTCCTTCCTGAGCACCTTTTTACTGATGAATATACAAATGTCGGTGATGAATGTACGGCAATTACACTCAGTCACCTTGGATTAATTTCCGCATCAAATCAAACGTTTTCATGGAGCACGGAGGGGGACGGTTTGAATCTGGATAATGCAGGCCGTAACGGAAGAATATTTAGTTACAACATAACCTGGATAGTGAGAATAGAATTTGAGAGCCTGTCTGGCAAAACAGTTATTGGCAACCGAATTCGGGTAAGGTGATGAGAGTAAAGCTGAACTCATAGGCGAAAGTCTGTATGAAGCACGCAATATGATGAACAGGTACGGTGGTTTGAACAATGAGGCGTTTTTAAGTCGGCAGATGTTAGCAGGTACTCAAACTAGACATTAATTGAAGCAGTCCAATTCATCCATACATTTTGAATCACGCTGTTGAGATTGTGGACGGAAACCTGGAGAGTGAAACAGCGATGGGCAGATTATCATTTAACAGTGACATAAATGCAACTTGGTAAGTTACTGTAGTCAACTTCAGCTACAATTAGCAGCCGTTACCCTATGGAAAGTTTGGCATCAATAATGAGTGTTGCATTCTTGTAACTTCAGAATGAGAGAAATCTACCGGCAGGATATTTGTCGGGCGGGGGATTTAGAAGCAGGTACCTCCTTCATTTTTTTAGGCCCCATTACAACGCGCTAAACGTAGTGAGCCTGAGAGTTTGTGGAAACAAATATGTTTCGCAATTAGTTTTAGGTTATTATTCACTCGAAACGACCTGATACTAAGTATTCAAGTTGATTTGGAGCCGTTGATAGCAAAATCCCAGATGGACGCATACCCTCTGCATTTTCTTTGAGGAAAGTGCGTAGATGCTATTCGGGATGCTTAACAGCGCAAACAACAATCAGGGAGTGAATACCATGTCATCTGAGTACGAGAACCAATCACCATTTGCCTGCTTCCCACCAGACGTTGAGGTAAGCAGCCCCTTGATTTGCTAGATGGTAACGATAGCTGGCCCAGAGGTGTTGTACCGCTCATTTTGGAGGCATAATGAGTACATTTTTGAGTGGGTATTTCACCCTTATTTGCCTGTGGTGCGGTTGTTTAATGTCTTCACATTGGTTTGACCAGCCTTGTCACCCTTATAACCGAGAAATTATCCACACTGGTGTACTCATATGAACCAATGTCTTTGACAATTAGTATATCCTTGAGATACTTTCCCCATCCCCAAATGTCATGAGCAAACACTCCCAATATATGTAGATTGACGGCCAAAAAGTAAACTGAATGTCTAAACCCCGGGATACACGTCTCCTTCTCGCTGCATTTATTTTTTGCTTGGTCAGCAATTTTTAGCCGTTTTTGCCTCTACAAACATCAGCATGATTTTTTGCGACATACACTGATAGCAATCCATCGAATGGACAACGCTTATCCGTCCACGAAATCACGCCTTTGATAGGTATGATACTACTAACTAGCCATGCAATAGCTTAAACTGGTAGCTGAAATCCAAAACATTATAAACAGGGGGTTGAGCTGGGTTCCAAGATAGACTCCCGTCAAAATCAAACTGAAAGTGAGTATACTTCACTCAGTTCGTGCCATTTTAAGGTTGACGGAAACTTGGGGACTGCGCCTACCTGATGAGCCCTAAACAGGGCGAAACCGGTCGTGGGCTGTCGAAGAATTTTCAGAAACCTTGTGAGCAGTGGAAAACGTCTAGGGGAAACATTACTTGTTGCGCACTACGCTCTCTCAGTAGGTAACCTACAGAAAAGTCAGAAGGATCACGCTTTATGATCAAATAGTCGGTCGGTACGCACCGGAATTTTTGTGTGCTCATTGATATGGTGGGTTAACACGAGTGTTCGAATTCACCGTCCACAGTAAACCGTTCCAATGGAAATCCGCGTGTAACAATTGATGGCCTATACTCTTTGAGCTCCGTTTCGTGCGAATCAACTGAGCATCGTGCAAAACTGACGGAGTAAAACCTTTTTTGAGTGGACCAGTGACCCAAAATGTTAGTCAGTAGGGTTCAGGCGCGCTCTCATGGCGTAGCAGTTTGAGGTTAATTCACAATATAGCTAGAAATTTTCTTCGACATTTTCTCAGGTTGAAAGCAATAGATCTGGTAAACTGTTCAATGTAGAAATAGTTTCTAGTGTGTGTGTTGATGAATAAATTGCCTGATACCATTTTCCAGCAACAATCTACTCTGGGAGTATATCCGAATTACGTTCACTTGGAGTTTCCTTTCTCCAAAAAACAAAGAAAACTTCACAACTCTAGAATTTGTCGAAGACGCCCTTATTTGTGTATGGGCATTTTTGACAACTTTTCGGTGTTTTCAACACACTACTTTGGGATTTCTGATAGTCCTTTCAGTTCTACCGCATAGACAGTACAGGCTATCAGTGTGATCGAGATGCATACTGGTTGGGTGTCAGCTCCAACCATCAAAATGAGCACTAATGGTTTGAGTTACAGGTAAATCTCTAATACGATTAACAAAATTGTCAATTTGCGATAGTTCGCTTTGCCCCACTTCTCCACCGCATTGTTCTTGGTCCATGCTGGGACGGTGGATCTTTTTTAGCAGTGACTTTTAGTTCTGGCGTTATGGCTAACTTAGTTTGCTAAATCTTAAGTGTCTTTACAATGTAAAGACACCGTTTTAACTACCGGACTTAGGCTGATATTGGAATCGGGTTACCCGCACAAGGCGCAGTTTTCGCACTATACCCTGTATCAAACGACTTCCCAGTAGCTCGATTTCTCCGTGATTTTTCCCATAATTTCGTTCCTGTTATCTTATTCTATCCGGGCTGAATTTCACTTAGTGATTCATAGGACAGACAGTTAACTGCTTGGTTGCGTCTGGCATACATCACTACGGGCTCTACACTGTCTGTCTTTCTTGCCATTTTGGTTGATTGGGTGCCACTGTAGAGGCATATTGATCTGGTCTGGAATTGAGTTTGTACGATTGGAACGAATCTTATGCCATCTCCAACCCGGTCACGAGCTACGTGACCAAGAGCACTGCCCCTGGTCTGTGCTCTCCTGTATCTGACTCCAGTGCAGTTCACGTTCATCCTAGTTGTAGGGGTAGTTGATACAACGCCTGCTCCGGACGGTGACCTTTTGTAGTGCGGCGCACATCTGCTGATCATCATTTTCCTGTAAAACTGGTGTCTGTTTGGCATGATTAGGTTCATTCGTCACCGCTCCCTCCGCGGACCTTTTCTGTTCTGTGCCGCCCGTTATAACTATCCCCTGCAGCTCCGGCATTGTTACGGTTTGCCATAATCGATTGTACGTTAGTAGTTATTCTTTATCAGACCCATTGTTCCCAAAACCCCTTCTGCTGTTTGACATAGTCCTTTTGTCCGTGCCAGTACCAAAGAATCCGCTGCACAACGTCCCAAATGCAGATGTCCCTACCGATCTCCATTCTAATATCGGGTCCGCGTGACATCGAATCGCTGTGAAGGTTGGCTTCGTGGAATGTGTCACATCGCCCAGGTTTGTACATGCAGATTTTTGGGTTTTTAGCAGCAACCCAATAAAAGCACCGCATATCTGTGCGGTTTTTCAGTTGATTCTATTTAAATTGCGTTCTTGATCAAAGTGGGATAAGGCACCGTTAGTGAGGTGCAAACACACGTTCCACATTTCTAGCCGTCCTAGTGTAACCTACATGTGCAAATTAGAAGCGCAGCAGAAGCCACGTGAAAAACATCCAAAGGATGATGACCATTAAGAGGTTACTACGTAGATTAAAAGACATTCGAACCCAGTGATATTTGTGCACATAATCCTGAGTGTCTCAGTTGAGATGGTTTTGATCCACTGGGTACAAAACTTTGACCGTAGCGTACCCATGGCCCCAGTCAGCCATTCACAGATACGCTAATCACTCAAAAATCCAGAGGCTGTGTTCGTGGCACCTGAAACATGTTCAGTGACTCGCTGGAATATATATTGCACTCTGTTCAGCTAAAATATCATTGTGTGTGGGCTGATGGATGGATGGCATTGGTGAAATCATTGTATTGCCCTGCGACTCATCAGTTTGAATTATAAGGGTTGCAATAAAAATAGTCGTTGTTATTCACGCAGCTGCAAAGCTACTGTTTTGGGAAGGTTGCTTTCTTACTATACTAGCGAGTATAAGATCATCCATAATTGGCAAGTGGAAGAAAATTCTTTTTCATTTCGGTGGCCCCACTTCGGGTAGCCATCCTTCATCAATATTTTTTGTGCATCTCGTCGACGATTTATGTGTCCTGCTCTGTGCTAAAAGGCACACTTGCATTCAGGTTCGAAAATTGGAAAAAAATGAATTTACTGACCACTCCATGCTACTGTGTGACAAACATTGCAGGTCGGCGTATTGCCTCTTGATTAGGACGTAAGGAATATGAAATGTGTACAGCACGTCCCTAGCAGTACTGTCTCGTACATAATATTCTGACGGATTTGAAAATACTAGAAAGCATGAGGGATAAACGACCTGCCATTACAAATGTAGCTTTTGTACATAAATGTCCTGCCAATTAGGAGGCGAGCTTTTAGATAAGAAGTTCGACCAAATTGTATTCGGACAAAATTCATCCATGGAATACAAAAGATGTTGATTGTGTTAAAACAGTCAAAGCAAGTTTCAACCAATAGTTTAATTTAGTCGTGAAGCAGTTATTTTCTTCAGTTGCTGGGGCTTCTGGCTTCTGCTGTTTAGAAACATTTTCCAAGTCAGCACTGATGCTTGATTTCCGCATGCTGAAAAAATCGCAGAAAATTAAAAAGCAATGGCAGGGAAAATAGTGGTTACGTATTATCTATATCGGATGAGGCGGAACTCAAAACATTGTTGGTAATGTGGTGACAAGTCATCTGCAGTTAGAAAGTCTGAGGGAGCCGTTGTGATGACCTTAAATTGCCCTGCCATTGACTTCTTTCCGAGAAGAACTCAAAGCCTTCGTCAGACGTCAGGTATCCTGTTTGCACACTGAAAAAATTCAATGAACTATTGCTTTTTAAATGTGCCGTATCTGTGTATATGTTTCTGAGGTCACAGTGTTAAATATGGAGACAAACTTTTTCGCTAGTTTCACAGGACGATCAGCAAGACAGTCGATGTAGCGAACGACTTCGGTTCTTCATATATTACGAAGACTTTAGTAATTGTGAGTTGTACGACGCCCTCTTTTTACGAGATACATCGTTCAGAGCGTCTAGGCTACTTGGAATTCAGTCTTGTTTCATCGGATGTTTAGCCTGGAAAAGTTGTGTAGCAACAATATTGTTGTACTTGAATTTCAAAGAAGCAATTTGCCGTCAGATAAGTGAGGAACAGCTCTGAGTTGTGCAGAATGGTATGCTTGTTTGGTCAGGTCACCTATCACTTCCTCTAGTTTCATAAGAAGAGATTTTCTTGCAAGACCTACCTTCCTCTTGGACTACAAGTCTTTAGTCCATTTTCGAATCACAGTTCACTCGCCTTGACCGATGTCACAGGTGAGAGTGGCTATCAACATATTCATTCCTAATCTTTGATCGTAATACCCCACCGTCTTATGACGCCACTGTTAGCGTTCCCAGAAAAATACAATAAATTTCAGATAGAGTTCCGTCAGTGAAGTCGTGCTTTTAACATTTCACCAACCAAATTTCGCTTAGCCGTAAAATGTCATTTGCCTTGGCATGCAATGGACGGGTGGACTTCGGCCTATGTAGCTTTACCTGGCAAGCCAAATGAGGCCGTGGTCACACGTGAAACTTTGCACTAACTTGATTTAATTTTTCTGTGTAAATTTCGATGCTGTGATGTAAGTGTAGGGAGGTTATTTGTTGAAATGTATCCCAATTTTAGCATAACTAGACAGAAGTATCAACCAAACAGGATCCTGTATTAATGAAAAAATACAGTGGCGATAACGTCAGATTCAGCCAACTACCTCGATTGTGATATTACTCAACCAAGTATGCTGCAAAAAGACCGCCTTTTGCTTCGGTTGGTAAGATGTTCGAGATATTGTAGTGTTATATGGACGGAACTCTTGTCAGGTACTCTTTGATGGACGGCGACCATTAGTGCTGTTTCAGGATCTCATCGGACAGTCGCAGTTCCTGAGCGAGCATCAATTCTAGCTCACCCACTTACAGAATACTCTGGTGGTAACGTTGGTCTCGAACGAGTCTGTTGTTGGAAAAGTAGGGTAGCACAAGAATTGTGCCAACTGAGAGGTAAGACTCCCTTGAAAAACCGATTCAGAAGCAGAATCAACGAACTGTTTTCGATTTCGGAAACCACATAAAATTCTCTATCGAAAAAATTTTCTGAGAGCAAGGAGTTCTGGTATTTTCATATTTCCTGTTGGGTTTTGGTGTCAAATGACAGCTTGAAAACCACAAAGATGCTTGTGCGATAGTCATATGTGACAGAACTGGTGTACTAAGCGCACGCTCAGTCACGCAAAAGACGATTACCCGGATAACAATCAATTTGAACACCCGGTCGGCTTCAGTACGCGTTGCATAAATGGCACCTAAAAAGGCACACAATAACACTAAAACTTAAAAATTCAAATCCTGAAGAAATGGTACCCAGCTTACAAGTGGGTCCAAGCAAGTTATAGACACAGGCTTGAAGTAAATAGCTTAATCCCAGAAGTTTCAGGAAACGAGAGAAAATGGAATCTCTCATTTGTGATGGAGACTTAATACTTCAGCCTGGGGTTTGGAGTTGATCAAGTTTTCCACGATAGGAGTTCGGCTGAACGTACTATGTCCGTCAATATGTTGATTCCATTTTTAAGAATACACTTAACCCCTCTCACATTTCAACCGGAAGCAAAGCAGTTTGACTTCAACGGCAAATATAGAGGTGTTTTGATGATGATGGCATATTCCTGGACCTCGTTAGCTGAAGTAGCTGCGCAGAGTATACGTTATTTTGATCACTGCATTCAAGATTTTTCAGATACTGGTAATTACGTTCCTCTCGCAGGACTGATTAAGGAACAATTATTTCTTACCATCAGATAATCTCACTTCGTTTAGAGATCTAGTTCAACCGTGATGCAGTACCAGCCTTTCTAGAGAGTCCAGTAAAAGGACATTATTCCCAAATATATTCCAAGTACTCTGACCAAATTCCGCTTCTTTTGTCACCGAATATCCAACCTAAGTTGATCTCAGATTGACATTTTTGCCACCACACTTTAGAAACCTCGTTTGTAAACTTTCTTTAAGGCCTCAGGAATCTCATGATCTAAACCAGGTCTGTGCAGAAGAAGACATAAATCAAATGTTGCGTGTGCTGTGAACCTGTGACCCCGGTGTATTTTGTGCACCATTCTGTCAGAATTTGCATTATGAATTTCCGCTTGTTTCCAGGATAATTATGTGATTGTCCCCGATTGATAAGATTGTTCGACCTTGTGTCATCCTCTGCAAACTCTATTCCTCTATTGCAATTTACAAGAAAACCGTCAGCACTGTTGGCAGCAACAACGTAGTATGAAGTACTGGCATCTGGCTGCTACAAAAGAGTAAGAAGGACGCTGCAAAAATAGTGGAAACTACTAAAAGTAGGAGGTACATTATCAAGCAATCGCACAAAAGGGGAGCCGACCACGATGCAATACAAATCACGAACAGACTAACCAGAAGAGACAATAATAGACGGCAACTTCAACACCAGCGTAACCGCAGAAGGAAAGAAATACAAACCATAATCCAACACAGATTATTATCCGACCAACCAGAATCCATGTGCAATGATTGTCAATGGCCAGTCAGGTTACAGCGCAACAGCTGCTCTTTGTAAACTACATAAATGCGAACACCCAAAAAAGCACTGAAGATGTCTCCTCGAATGATGACGAAACGTTTGCGAATCAATTGTCAAGCTCGGCGAACAGACCAACAGCCGCCTGGTCGAATACCAACGCCAGAAATCTTTCTGGAGTAATAAATTTCCGGTGGATTTGAGCAAGCATTCTTCGCACTCCACCTCTCATAGCTGGTCACCAAACTTTTCGATCAACAATATATGTCCTGAGAGATCTTATTAACTTCTTGTCTGTATGGTCTTGTGTGCTGGTTCTACTGGTGCGTTTTAGAAATAGCTCAGGAAAATGTGCAGAGGCTGTCGTATTGCTAGGTTTTCTTCCCTTTATATCTTAGAAAGCTTTTCATTGAGTAAGATGAAGGGTTTCCTTGGATTAGCACTATACCAACAGTAGTTCGATGAGCCAATGGCACTGTTGCCGTTTGTTAGTATGAGGGGGTTTCCCTACGTTTGGTTTTCAATATCACCAGCATGTGGCTTAAATAACCTTCCGCATTAGAGCAACTACGCCATGGCATGCCGCCAGGAAAATCAAGCAGAAAAAGATGAGGCTATCCTCGAATGCCTGGTAATTCACAAGAACGAACACTTGTAAAGAAACTTGTTTGACTTTTTGACTGAATCCATCCTGTGAGTTCGGTGAATAGGATTGCAGTTTGATTTAGTTCCTTTTTAAATCATGTCAACGAGCTTTAAGGCTGTATGATATTGTGCATGTAAAGGAGGTATACTTCTGAAAGGGAACTGGTCGAAGGACAGGATAGTTGTCAACCTTCCCACTAAATCTAGGAGTCTGATCCACTGTCGTTATTCTTGAACACCATAATTAACGCCGTTACACAGTATAGCCGAGTGAATGTAAGTGATGGGGTTATATCATTCTATGACCAACTATAATACCTGGACAAACTCACGCACTGCGTAGCTGTCTGATATGAGGTGAGCGGTATGCTATTGAATGAGAAAACTTGAACTCCAGACAGTACTACTTTCATTGAAACAGTAGCTGGGTGATTGTGATTACTACAAACTCACCCACTAGTTACCAAAATGAACTCCTATGGAGTTACGTTTTATTCTGCTGCAGTAAACTTCTGTTTCCCGTTCTATCGTACAACTGCCACATCCTCATCGGAAATGCATTATCTATTACGTCAGTCATCCAATGCTCTTATAGGACACCATACCTACAATCCATACAATCAGTCATGTCTGACTCCAAGCAGCTAAACTTGTCGCCCATTCGCCGCTCAACTCCGCCTTCTCAGAACGACAGTAATTGTAAACTGTATACATCCATGTGTGTGCTACGTCATATTCTTGACTTGCACCACAGGAGAACTTGCGGAGGGTTGAGATTGAATCAAGAGATGAAGGCCGAGTGAACTGCTTAATGATCCGAAAATCCCGCAAACCACTGGTTCATCAAAAAGTATGCAAAAGCTCAACGAAGTGATTTGGAGCTGACGACTATTGAAAGTTGTTGTCATAAGACAGTACCATAAATAAAAACAATAAAACAGCCTCTTCTACTAAGCCGAGGAAACACTATCCACACAAATTGTTTTCCAAATAAGTAGGTAGGTAAACGCAAGTTTCCCACATGAAAGTTTATGCTAACACAACACCTTTTACCCCTTATTTTTGCGGGAATCCACGCAGTCAATTTGAAGTGAGCAATATGCGCAAAAGATAGAGTGTGGAATTCTAGAAATGAGCACACTTTAACGTACCTTGACGGTCGTAACAACACCACAACTTCAGAAACTTCCTCCTCCATCCCACCGCCAATTTTTTTCAGCATGTATTACTTTTTCTTATCCTTGTTATGTCTGTCTCGGCGTTTTATAAGTCCTTGTGCAGTGTATCTGAGCCAGCCCGAGTGAGATTTACCGAAAGCACATGTATCTTTCCATGCAAGCATGATGGCACTTGAAATTCGTTTGTTTCTTCTAAGACCCATGTATTTTTGTTCCCACGACGGCAAAGCCATCAGGTGGCAGAGTTTCCCAATTCGGCCCCTGTGGTATTTTTCGGTCTTTTGACTTTCTCTTGATGTGGCCATCTGCGGATGAACAGAAGTTTCTTTGAATAATGCGGATTGCGAACTGTTGTCGTCCGAGACGTCCAGTTTGGTGATACATACCGACTCAGACTCTTCATCGAGAATTGAGATCGCGGAGGTTTCCTCTTTCAGACACAAGCGCTTCACAGGTTTGCGGTTTGGTAGGTGTTTCTTACCGTCCTTCCAAGGGGCCTTGAGTTGCAAGATGCTGTCCACAAAAGATCGTGGCAAGGCAATCAAATTCACCGATGCAAATCTCCTGTTCTTTGACCTCAAATCTGGGTAGCAGGGGGTTTCGACGGCAGCTTTCTGAATTGTTTATTACAAGAGAAGAGCGTAAAGTCAAAGTCCGGGATAAAAATTAAGACTTACTTGAGAAGGAACCATTTAGTACTACTGCGCCTTTTGCCTCAGTGGAAATCTCAAGGTGATATGTTTTCATTTTTTTAAGGTGAGTCGTTTATTCTTATTGTGTTAAAAACATCTTATCCTATGGTTTTCATGAAAGAGAATCAGGATGAATTTCTCCTCGTAAATGCAAAATGCATTTACAAACTTCAGGAGGATAAGGAAGCCTAATGGAATTAGGCAGGGGAAAACAATCTCACTGAGCCGAGGATGCGACCAAAGTATGACTTGACAAACCCGTCACATTAGTGAACCGCTGAGGTCGAACAGAATAGAATGAGATAGGTCAGTAGATCGTCGATCTAACCAACTGTGAGCAATGCATTAAAAATGGTTGAATTAATTGTCTCTACTTACAAAGTCCTGAGATCAATACTCCACCTGAAGTTCTCTCGGCCTCTGACAAAAACCTCATACGGAATCCCCTTGTGCAGCATTTACGCAACAAGCCAAATATATCAAATGTGCTAAAGCTGTTTGCCAAACAAGATGCTGAGGAAATGAAATGTTGGCGGTTCACATCGCATGAAACAAGAGGCTGTGGTATTTTCCGAAATCTACTTAAATAGATGCAAAGTTGCATGTGTCAAGTATCCTGCATCAAAAAGGGAAGTTTAAGCTGAAACGGAAGCCTCAACAAATACACTCATTTGCACACAAATTAAGTTTCCACAGGAGACCAACCTGAATTCCGACTGATATTCTTCAATTGCATGCGCTTCACAAAGGCCGTCTTGTTGTTCGGTGGGCACAGTATCAAATTAGTATGCAACTGAGTGTATTTGTCGAAATTTGTGCACTTTAGGTACAATAAGAACATAAAGTTTACGGAATTCTAGGGACGGCGCCTACCTGATTACCCACAAGAGGTTCAAAATAGTCATGTGACGTCGGAGAATTTTCAGTAACCTTATGAGTAGTTGCTTTCGTGGAAATCGAAGCCTGTTTTTGAGGCCAAGAACAACCAAAGGACGATATTCGAATGATATGTTCAGACTAGCATTTGTAATCCTTTTTTGTAGCCCAAGGATAGTCATGTGACTCGGAGAATTTTCAGTAACCTTATGAGTAGTTGCTTTCGTGGAAATCGAAGCCTGTTTTTGAGGCCAAGAACAACCAAAGGACGATATTCGAATGATATGTTCAGACTAGCATTTGTAATCCTTTTTTGTAGCCCAAGGATACTTTTGATTCAGTAACCGCGTTTTCAGAACCATATTTCCACCCAAAAATAATTTGCCGTATCCTTGTTGTTATCAGGCGTCAGTAAATTGTCATAGTGCAATAGCAATAAAATAGTGGAATCAGAAGCTTTTTTCGTCTGTCCGCATTTTTTTGAAGATATGTCCTGTGATTTTTGAAGATTCCAGCAAAATTTACGACAAACAAGATCTCTTGAGCCAAAAATCTTAAAACAAAATACAATGACAGATTTCCAAACTCCCTCTGGGCAGCGGGAAGTGTACTTATTTTATCTTAGCCCTCTTCTGTAGGTAGTATGTTATAAAGTAAACTCTCAAAATGTGAATATTTTTTTTCATTTGTGCGTTTGATTTTTAATTTTGAACATACACAGTAAGGCATGCGATCTGAGCAAGGACAAACTAACCACCATCCCCATTAGCATTTACTCACAAAATTATTGTGTTCGATGACCGGATTTCTAATTACTCCATGAAATTAGGTCTGCTACTTTAACAAGCACAACAAACGAAGCTGTGTTTTGCCACCTCTGTATTGCTATCACAGGTGGGAAACAAAGTTAGTAGCTATGCAGTGCTGTGTGTCAGTCACAGACTCTCTTCTTTGGATCTGAGGTGGTGTTAAATAGTTCCCTACTCGACCTCTTCTTGTGATTCGTATCTTAATTTAAAGAATTTTCTATTGTTCCGTAGTATTTTTTCTGTTAAGAGAAGGCATTTTGGGTGCATCGCGAGTACACTGGACGAAGAATAGATTATTGTGTTGTCTTAGACTGCGGTCAGTAGCCGAAAAACTCGAACGAATGCCACTTTGTTCAAGGGGAGAAACATCATAATGAAACTGTAGATTTATGAAGGGACCACTTTCGACGATACCAGTACCACTTACTGCCTGCTAGTGATGACTCTTAGCAACATATCAAGTATTTTACTGGACTCCAAGTTATGTTTACATAGTGAGCAGTTGTGAACGCAGAAGTTTCCTCTTTTAATGAATTGCAAATAATTGATGTTGGAGACTGGGGGATTTAGGAGACGTTGAACTTGGTCCTGATTATACGCTATGCGGATGTAAACACAGTTTTCCTGGACAGAATTCAAACCCACAGCTTCCCGCATCCTGAGTGAGTGCTCTACCAACTAAGCTACTCAGGACGCTGCTTCACGTCCAACATGAGCATTTGAATTTAGTTACTCAGATCCATACCTAGGGTTTCCCGGATTCTCTTCCTGTCTCAGTTAAATACTAACAATCTTTGATTTTCTGGGAAACATCAACGTCCGGCTCGTTGTGAAAGCACACGAATAGCTTACTAATGGCACTGACAAACGTCAAGTGTTGATAGGTTAGACAGAAATGGATGAATATGAACTCAAGTTCACATGTGAGACATGAGGCAACTTCCTCGGTAGCGATTTTACTGACCGCTTCATTTGAGTGGCATGGTATCCGGGCACAAAATGGTTCTGCAACGGAGCGACCAGCTCATTTTAATTTTATCCGAAAAGCACGTTTCATATGTGCCTCATGTTCTTTCACTAGCGATTCGGGAATGAGATGGCTAAGTATTAGTTATAAGAAAGGATACCCCAGGAAATAGTGTTGGCGGAAATCTGATTTTGGCAAGCAGATTAGGGTGTGGCTTAAATGCAGAGAAACACACATGCTTGAGGACTCGTTGATCAGCCCTTTTTCGGGTTCCTCATCCAGTAATACGGAGTATTTCAATGCAACTGACTTTTCCTATCATGACTTGTAATTTCAAACGTTTGAACTGATTCAATCATGCACATGATAGGGATTGGACATAGTGAGTGGAATCCAGGCAGCATTTTCAGTTTAGCTATACACTTATTTAGTTTCCCAAAGTTCCGTGCAGCACAATTCGAAACGGATGGTTTGAGGCACCCACTAGGCCTATGTGGTGATTTTGCAAGACCACTTTATGAATGGAGCGGTACTTCGATTTTGGAAGCGAAGGCCATAAACAACAGGTCGCAATCACATGCTCAACAACTGAGGACTAGCTTGTTAGCTGATGCCTGTGGTTCAGGGTTTTCCTGTTGTCAGGATAACATCTTCAGGCAGATCACCGAAATCACCGTGAACATGGGAATGAATACGTGTTTAAATAGAATACACGGGCTCTTCTGTAAGTGGGAACCTATTAAAAAGGGAGAAGGGAAACTCTGTTTGGTTATCACATCATATGTCATTTGGTATTTCACAAGAGTAGTTTGTTTTTAAACGTAACTAAACTTTGATTCTTTAGGTTTATCAAGACAAATTCGTTTGTGCTAACACTAATTAGCCACAGGGTTTCACAGAGTTATGACATATGGATACATAAGGGAGAAGATGAGAGGAGAGAAAAGTGCAACAAAAGATGTTCAACCTCAAAGCTAAGAGACTGGATAGTTACGCAAATAACCTTACTGCAGCTACCGTGCTTGCCGACAAGTGTTTCTTATTCAGGCTTTCGGTGGCTCAGCTTTTATCCAGGGTGGATGACTGTGTTGTTTTTATTATTTTAAATTAGATTTGTTTTAAATCGCTTTTATTTTGGAGCCTTGCGTATTGTACGCAAGTTCCAGTTTTTTGAGGACCTTTTAAGGCTTCTTTGAAGTACTTAATGTTCGGGTCATTTTATTAGGTTGATAAAGGGTACTGAATGACTTGGGAGGTTTTTCGATAGCACACTGTTTATTTTTGGTGAGAGCAAAGGTGTTGTATGGATCCGAAAAGAAAATATTCACAACAACGCCGTGAATCCGCAAGAAGGTGCAAAACGTAGGGACAGAAACTTAGAAACCTGCACTACAAAATACAGTCCACTGACTGTTACATTCATAAAAAAACCGTAGTAACGTTGGAAAAGGGCTTACTAGAATGTGCGGTGCTAACTGAGCACACAAAATCCTAATGAATGTATCAGCCATGCAGAAGACTCTTCCCACATTGTTGTAATTCTGTAATTGTTTTATTTGTCTCCGGATTTTCTCCAATTTCTCCTGCAGTCTGTTAACTTGTGAAATTTTATCAGCGAAACCGTTTGACTTGATAGTTCCAAGGGCGGGAAGTGACAGGTCTCCAACGCAATTTCTTGTTCGTTCTTCACAAAATACCGTGCCATTTTGTTTGGGCAACGGTGTTGTAGAATAGGTCCGTTTCTCTAACTGAAATTTTGTCGAAATTGTTTTTAGTAAGTTTGTGGGTTCCATCCGAGCACTGGTTGACTGCAAGCATTTTACACTTTTCCTATTTTCTTCCGAATTAGCGGTGGTATTTAGATCCCCTAGATTTGAGCGGCGTATCCTATTTGCTGTTTTATCTCGAAACCCAACCCTTTTGTCATTGGCAAGAGTCTCAGAAGAATGTCGTGCAGCAATAGTTACTCTGTTATGACGACGCACTTTGGGATCATTGGAATCTTGGGTCTTTTCTGTGAGCTTTTTGTGGACAACATAAACATTTGTCAGTTTTTGTTGTTGCCGTTCCGGTTTACGAAGCTCCCGTTCCGACTGTTTCTCCGATGCGTTCAACCTATGCTTGGATATCGTTCGGAGTAGAGGTTCAAAGCAAACAGTTCGCTCTAGGGAACGAGTGAAGCGAGTTGGTCGGGGATCTTTGATTCTTTGGGAACAGGGCCCCTGACACACACCTTTTGATTCATTACAACCTGAATGGTAAAGACGGGTACACAATGAATGAAAAGTTATACATTAGCAGTAAGGTGAATCCCATGAGTAGATCCACTTCGAACAATAAACAACAACTCAGGAGAGTCAAGAATGTGAATTTTACATCAGATTGCCTCCAATTTGAAAACATTTGGAAATGTCACATCCTGGCTTGACTAAAGACCGAACCTCATCTTTCTGGTAGCCAGATTTTACCACAAGGTGTGTTCGCTTGATCTTGTGTGACTTCGTGGATCTCGAAAATCAGCTGACATCAATTCTGGACCAAATTATCGCTTGTACTAAGAGTAAAAAGAAAAATGGCTCTTACGACATACGTCTTAAAAAGATGAAAGAAAGCAGGAATAGCACTACCCCACTAACTAATGTACTTTGGAACGATAGCCGGACCTTACGTTCACAGTCACAGCCCAGTATAAATAGCACGTATCCTCACACTAGGAGCGAAGCCATTTGAAGACCACTAGAAGCTGCTTCATACAATTTTCTTGAGCCCTTATAGCTTTTATGAGACTCTTTTAAGTCCCGTTGCCTTGAAGGTGGATCTTATATACTGTCCGAAACTGTGTGGCGGTTAGACTAAAGCACTTAAATTGGTTTTAAGCGAAATGCTAAGTTCACGAAACAACTCATCCACAACGAACAGCCTACCATCTCTTCCTTGTTTAAAGACTTCCTCAGATATATTCTGAATCTCCCTCGGGAAGTACTTTTTTAGGTACTCTCTAATCCGTTTTTCTCGCTTTGGATCCGATATAGCCACGTGTAGGGTAGCCGTTGGATTAGTTGGGTCAGAAGATTTTTTTACCAGCTGACTGTTCACTATGGAATAGTTGATTGAATTGTTTACAACTGAGCTCTGTTTCCGATCACCAATCGAGGCCAATATATCATTGGTTTGGGCGTCATAGACCGGCGGTCCTTTTCCAATGGTTAGTTTTAACGGAATATTGGGTTTCAATCCAAAGTCATGTTTTCGTGAATTTTTCAAAAATTCCGTCCGCCCCTGTTTACCGTTTAGGTCAAACTGTCTTTGAAATCCCTGTGGGTTCGAGTGAATCACGAATAACTCTTCCTCCGGCCACTCTAGACCTTCTGTCCAAATATTTCTTTTGTGAAACATGTCTGGAATAGTTCCATACCGTTCAAGATTGGTCTGATTATTGTTTTGGATGTCTGCCGTTGAAAAAATACAGTCAGTACCACTGTCCACACTGTATATATCATCGATAGCTGATAGCTGACAGTGCGTGGAATACGGATACGACAAGGTTGGAACCATGGTGGCTGAAGTTAAGTGATCTTCTGTACTGTCGTATGTAAGCACAAGGTGGCTGTCAACCTCCACGTCGACAGAAATTGTTTTTCCTATGAAAGTGTGCAGGTGACTAGGAAAGTTCCTTTTTGTCTCAGGTCGCTTTAAAACTGGACGGATCGATAGGCTGATCACGTGGTTAATCAAGAGACGTGCACGCTGACGGTAAACGTTTTTTCGTCAGAGCAGGTAAACATGAACTAAAACACGAATTAATAGTTCCGCTTGGAATTTCATCCCAGACCAAAGTTGGTGCTGGAATCATCTCTTCTTAAGCTCAAGTGCATTAGCTGGACGTGACAATATGCGCTGGATCGCCCAAATACTCCCAAATTAACATTGAGAAGCAGCAGGCTTGGTAGCCCTCCTTTGATGGACTGCTTAACCAATGCCTGTCTATCACTGTGTTAGGCGAGAGTGATGAAAATTACCCCTAACCCCTACCGATTATATATTACACTAGTACGATACACCGGCTTGTTTAGTTCAAGGACCTGACCTTCATCCCGGATAAGAATGGCTCTTTTTGCAGTAGATCCTTTCCTTTTCCGTGACTTCATAGCAGCTGAGCGCTATTTTTCAGGGCTAGTTCAATGCTGCTCAGAATGCGATGAAGACGGTAATGATAATGATAACGATAATGGTGATCAAAAGTTCACGTCCCGCCCAAATTCATTTAGCAGGGCATACTAAATTCGACAAGAGTAGCATACGACAAAGCCTCGGCTTGTAGTGTTGGATTTATCCCTGAAGGGAAATAACTGTAACATGTAGAATCTATTTCCTGAAATAGTTGTCTCCTGACCAAGACACAATATCGAGAAGCAATCTGAGTTTTTTAGTGTAAAGTATTTGATGTGTTCATCGAACATTGCTAGAAAATGGAGTTTTTGGCTACCTTTTCGGCCAAATCACTCACAGATTCATACTTAAACCTACTGAGTAGTGTAGAAGAGACAGTCGGTTTCATGTACCTTTAATCAGTGGATAGCTACTTAGTAGTTTACATATCGCGCGAAATGATTGATCTTGGTCCACCCGAGAGATCGCATGATAACTGATAAATGTTTTTTTGAAGACTAAAGCTAACGAAGGAAATAGTTTTGGTTGTGCAGGACACGATCGTGTGGGGCACATGGCGAATTTCCAAGTTGCTGTCAAAAACATTGATTTGATGGGTTGAACAGAACAGGGAACCCGGGATGTCAACTTCGGGTTTTGTGTCGAAGCTATGTTTAACAGCGGAGTTTCTTATTTTTTCGATGCCTCTCATTCTAGATATATTGGAGTAATTTATGAATTTCCATTGAAGACTCATCCGAGGTTTCTCCGGCGTGCTCAGCATTACACTAACACTGCAGCAAGGAAGCATATATTCTCGTGGTTCCCTAAGACATGTTTCCTTTGAAACAACTGATTCTGTGGCCTGAAATTCCGATGAGTTTTCATCAGAAGTCGCCTGATGATCACCTCCCAAAAACCACAAACAGTAAAGTGCAATTATGGAAATAGCTCTTTATTCCTCAGTGTGACTGTTACTGGCTTTCTCCTGGCCTTTCCTGTCGATAAACTTGTCCGGATAAGACATCCGTTGAAGGACCACTTTCAGAGTCAAGACTGTTCGATGAGAATATTTCGGGTTCTCTGAGCCAGCCACCTGACTAAATTACGTTTGTTTTATGAACCGAAGAAGTTGACATATTGGGTTATATGCGGTCACCTTTTCATATACACATTTTAAAATACATCTTTCAGTCTCAGCATGACAGATAATGGATCACAGCTCCAGTAGTCTTGTTCATATTTGCACGCAGCTGGAGGATACTACTACTTAATGTACATCTGCAAAGCAGGGTTGTACCCTAGATATACGATCAAGTTACCTTCACTAGATTTCAAGTCAACCAAATAAATTTTGTGATCACATATGCTCGAGCTCCGCCATAGGTAGAGCAACGAGTAACAAAACAGACACTGAAACACCGTTTAGCTGTCTTTGATGCTTATCATTAAAAGGGAGTGTCATACTGCGTCACATCAGGAACTGTTTCGGATGCTACCATGCATATGTTGCAGAAAGCTCATTCAAATATTCCGGTGTTATGATGGCTGAAATCCAGTGGGGCTCAGCTAAAATCCATCAGAAAACAGTTTTAGCTCCTAAATCTTGTTGTGTTCAGTGGGGACAAACTACTACTTAGCAACGTGAAATCAGGGGGTTACTGTCAGTCTGAGTACTACCAGTTGGGATCCACATGATTATTTTTGCATGAATTTATAAATACCACAGAACGCTGCAGGTAACCGGTCTGAGTGGTGTGCACACTGTCAATTACTGGTCGGACTGTGTGGCTGAATTTTGTCTGTTGTTGTTTGGGGGGTCCTTGTGGGGTGGACCATTACTGCGAGTGGTATTTTAAATCAACACGACATGCAAATGCTTGCTTTTGCTGTTCAAACGTACAGGTTCATCCAGTTTATACAGTGATCAGTATACCGGTTTGGTTTTGATGAGAGACTCACCTAAAATCCAACTGAATTTCCTATTTATGGTGTTCTCGAGCAAGATTCAACGAGAGATTCTGCTGAGTTTCGGGTGAGTCTCTTTCAAAACCAAATTGGTATACAGATGCATGTATAGGTTGAATTTTGTGCAATGTGAGTCCAAATAGAACATGAGGTCCACGTCAACTTGGGGACCAAGCCTACCTAATGAGCCCCCAGAGGGACGAGGCCGATCGTCGGCTGTCAAAAAATTTTCAGCAACCTTGAGTAGTGAAATACATGTATACGTACCCCGTTCATGGTTGGTTACCATTGAAGCATACGGCTGTCTGTATCAAGACCCAATCCTTCATTTGTTCTTTCCCTCTTTGTTAGGCCTTCGTTTTCCCGGCTTTATGGATGTTAGGTGCCTGAATTTACTACCGGAGAATTGCTACGATGTTATCTTTGTTGATGACGACGATGACGATGACGACGGCGGTGATGATAATGACAATGATATTGATGATGGATAATCAGCCGGACTTAAATTTTAAGTTTTTTTGACAATGAGTTGAAATATTTGTAGATCGGGTGCATTTTCTGCCTTCCATCGGGAAGAAAGACCCAGTGGTGCGAATTTGCACAGTAATGTCAGTTTACTTTTAGCTTCGGATCAAGTCACACTGATAGAATTTATGAATTTCTTTTCTCCAGATAGAAGGAGTGCTTTCGAAACTGGGCATAAATTGCTTTTCAAACCATAAACTAAAACCCATAGTGTCCTACAACCATCAGTTGGCCGACGATGGTTGTACATGTGTACCACAAAAATAAAGCGTAAGATATATTCGCATAACAGTTAAATAAGACATAGCACTCTAGTTGCCTCCGACATCGTGATTACAGTAAATAGACGTGACGGGTTAGGACAAGATATGCTCTAATTTCATTTCTGTTGGCGGTATAAAACCTGAGTTTTGATGTACAAACAGCTCCAGTTGCACTCCACCTGTTCAAGTCTGTTTGTCATGGCGAAACCCGTTTCTTTTTATCTAGTCATTCCTCGGTTCCATTATCAGACAAAGTGGCTTCATTCCTCACTAGTAACGCCATGCAATTTTACATCCCCACACGTTCTCAAATGAGGTCATAAGCGAGCTTAATCCTAGTCGTCTTTGGTCTCTAGAGATTTTTGTGTGTTGACTTAAGCAACATGAACCGGCGTGTCTTCCGGGTCGACAATATCAAATAGGCACACAGTATCGCATATGTTTCTAGTGGGACTGGCGACCTATCGAATGCTGGGTTTTGATCGGTTTGAGACTTCATCTTTTTTTCTCTGTGCATTTTCACAATTTGATGATATGCTACTCACAGCGTTCAAGTAGTTAAGTAAAAATTGAATTTTTCAGTTAATTCGTCGTGGTACAGTAGTGAACTTAATAGTGTTTCTTAATACTCAGGCTACCCACTGATTCCAACAAACTTATGCCGGATTAACTGGAGTCTGATCGCCGTTTTTTGCAAATTTCCGAAAGAAAAACAAACGTACCAACGGACATGACACCTGTCTTTACAACGAAACAAGGCCCTTCTCATGGGTAACAGAAACGACGAATTTTTACGTACTGTTTTGTTCATCATGTTGTCAAGTAACTTTATCCCGGCAACACGCAAACTAATAACGTGTGTGCCTGATTTTATGGGTAATTAGGCCTCGAACCGTGTTCCAATAAAAATTTTCACCGAGAGTTTATTGGTTCAGAAAATGCTTCATTCATGAATTTACAAGCCGGGTAAGGAGAAATGTTTTCGGTTACATTAGGAAGTCACCGCCTTAGACACCAGATATACCTGGAAACGAGTGAAAACACTTTTTTCTGAAAAACATCGGAGCTTCGGTCAAATCGCTTCATTGGTCTGCAACGCGGGCTGTTTGAATGGCCAGGGCTCACTAAAACTAAACAAGGTTATGGTTTTAGGTGCTTACTTGGCACCCGGATGCAAAACAGAGATTCATAAAAATTATGGTGCTATTTTTCTGGGAGCAAGGGTCATTGTTATCCACTCTATTCCCAGATAAATCCAACGCTAGCTATCATGGGTCAGCGCTCACTGGGCGTGTCCAGCGAGCCGCTACGAGAATGGTTGCCGGCCTCAAATCCGTGGACTACGAAACGCGTCTCGCGATGCTTGGTCTCTTTCCCCTGGAGTACCGTCGCTTCCGGGGAGACCTAATTCTTACTTATGCCCTGTTTGAACAAAGCTTGGCAAGCAGGATTTTACCGCTGACCCAGCAAACACACGGCAAGGACACAGTAAGAAGATTTTTAAGCTCAGAGCGCACACATTCATTAGACAAAATGTTTTTCTCATTTCGGGAACTAGCTGCGTGGAATGACCTCCCTCCAACAGTTGTCCACGCTCCTTCTAGAAACCAGTTTAAAGCGCTACTAGACATGTATTTATGCGAATCCTCGCGCAGGCAAGCATACTGCCCAGCGCTGAGAACATAAAGAGCGGTGCCACACCCTTTTTTCACTTGTGTCTTTCAGGTGAACGACAGCCACTGACCGACAAGAACAAAAGCGACCCGGGAAACTTGGGCAAATGCCTCGATCCTCTGTATCAATCCGTGAATCCGTGAATGATAGCTGGTGAAAATGGGGTCAAATACGGATATTCCCTTCAGGTGGTTTTCGCCGCTAAGCTAAATCAACTGCGCAATACGAGTGATCAGACATCAATGTAATTATAACCGTGTAGCTGACGCTGGCCACTTTTAGATCAATAAGATGAAAAAGGGCCACAGGAAACATGGTTTGCTTTTGGCCAGAGGCTCCGGACAAAGTGTTTTTGGCAAGTGGTCCCAGCAGTGGAAGACACTGGGACAGGAAAAGTCGTTCTCTTGTGCAAATAAGCCACTCTAAAGAGACTTCAATATTTCCCACATTGCTCCACGGAAACGACCACTGATTGGCACGTGCCGTAACCATGATTTACGGCATGTTACATCGGACCGCTGAGTGACAAGATTCCATAATGTGTTCAAATAGTAAAGACACTGTTTTAGGAGAAAGCTGGGAGGTATACCCTACAAAAAAATCAAGAAATCACCAGCCTTTTCAGCCTTTGATCCAGTTCAGTGAGCTCGAATGATTTTCGGTTAACAGGTGATAAATCCCATTGGAGGTCAACCCTAGATTTTACAGAAGAACTGCTTCGGTCAGTTGGACTGAATTTAACGAAAAGTGCAAACCAACATGACAGAAAGTGACAACAGCACCTTTGAAGTCCCCAGACTTAAACCTTTCAGATACCATGTGAATGATAATGTCATCTGTCTGATCAACCGACACAGAAGTTCTTGCGGACATCGGCGAGATAGATGGTGATAACTGACTTCAGTTGAGAGGGGATCCGCTTTGAGATAAACTCTCGTTTAAGTGCCGGTTGCCGCCAGTTGTTGCGTTGGAGCACTTTGATCAGACAACGCAAAGTTTCCATTAATACGATATCCGGGATACCGCAGTACATTTTATCGAAGAAAATTACCGGTAAGTTTGTCAAAACCCTTCGTGGGAAACATGAGACGACCACTGTGCATCATACCTAGTTGGAGAATATTGTAAAAACGAGAGATTTAACTGTCCCTGCTAAAGTAAAACGGGTATGCAAATAAGTACACTTCGCTAAGTTCTTACAATTCGTGTTCAAGCGGAAGATGAAGTTGGCAAAAATTTGGCTGCTGCGTCTATTTGATGAGCCACAAGAAGCTCAAAACTGGTCATGATATATTAAAGCGTTTTCAGAAACCTAATGCAGTTGTTTGTTCAAGAAAATACACCAATACGTTTCGAATATTGTACCAAGTGAAATATAAAACCGCCTTTGTGCGACGCAATTAGTTGAAGGATATCAAGGAGGAGGGATTCATCTGGGATTCATTTGAGTCTCCAGCTAAAATCAAGGAATGCAGACAAGTGTACTTGTTGTGTCAAGATGAACTTTATATCGGGTGTTGGCCAGCGTTGATCCGGACTCTATAAGATACCTTGGAACAGCAAATGCCTAAAGATACGCTGGTCTGCCGCCTGAGAACTGGGTTGACGGCGCTGTATACCAGGAATGTATGAGCGTCAGTCAAAATGCCATCCCTCGCCACCCTTAGAAACACCACAACATTGATTTATAAAGATGCTGACGCGAAAGTGCCCTTGACCGTCAAAATCTTTCCCTACAAGGTGGCACTTTAGGAAAGCCATGGTTTTCCAGCGCTTGTTTATCACTTTGCAGCGTCCTCAAGCTAGTCATAAGTAGCGACATAGTGGTTGATTTGCAATGGGATTTGACGTCTGCTGACCAGCATAAAATTCATTCCATCCACCACGAGTGGAATCGTTCGAAAAACACGGGTAGTGGATGTGGCTTTTAGGTTGCGGAATGTGGATATTTTGAGTTTGGTTGTGAAAACTTCATGGAACAGATAAAATCGACATGTACTTGTGAGTATTGGAGTTTCTTTCCCTCAGCTGTGTTAGGACATGCACGTTACATTTGAGGGAACATCGGCGAAAAAATGTGAGAACGGACAACCAAATAAATATTAAAATCTTGTTGGCTGGCTGGCATCCGAAGAGGTAGTGGTTGGACTGCTGGAGAGCTGCGCCTGCTTATGACAACTCTGATGGTTTACAAGGAGCCAGAGATGGTATTTCTAGAGAGCATAAAAAACGAGTATGAAAACACGAAGGTATAAAACGGGCGGAGAGATTTTGACAACCATCAGTGTCTCTGAACATGATGGAATTACGCTGAGCACGCTCGCAGCACTGAAGACCGAGGCGCCGGTGTCTTCTACCGGTTCCATCACATTTCGGCATGACGCAAAACCTCTCACCTCTAACGGCATG